AAATAATTAAATCATCAAAAACTCAAAGATTACAAAAAGATGCACAACTAAGTATTTACCTTGTATCTAATGAAAATCCTGAAATTAACACTATCCAAACTCAATTTGCATTGGACTAACATTTGACTATAAATATTAAAATAAAATAAAATAAAATAAAATAAAAACACACACACACACGCACACCAACATATAGTCCATCTTTATTTGAATGATTACCCTTTTTTCACCCTCCATTGAGAGTTTGATAAATTGAGAATTCTCTCCAGACCTTATATATATATATATATCAATGTTTTTCCCAATAGAACTTTAATTTTGTTTTATTAATATCGTATCTTTAGAGATGTTTTATTTATCGGTTTTTAGAGGCTTGGTACAGAAAGCTTACTTATGGGTCTAACCTATGCTTTATTTTACAGGTTATTAGAAGTTATAGTCTCGAGGTTGAGGATCTATAGCTTAGAGGCTTGTCTTTCATCTACTCATCTCATCTACTTCTAAGTAGTGTTGACTTTTATAGTTAGATGTTAGTTTAATAATGTATGAACTGATGGATTAGTAGTTTATGATTTAAAGGTCCTTGACTTACAAATTTCTGAATTGTACTTTAGAGATTTAAATTTATGGAATTTATTTTGTAAAGATGGTTTTATTTCATCAATAGAATTTCTTTCAGCACATTAATTATTCTTTTTATTTCTTTCTGTAATCTATGTTCGTTTATTACCATATTGTTTTTCATATTTCCGTGCTTTTGGGTGTGGGCCAAGCCAACCTATATGTGAAAATTGGCTGCTTGTGGGGCTTATTGGCTGCTGATTGGTGGCACATGCCACTCGTTTACTGATTGGGGGCACGTGCCACTCCTTAGGCTTATTGCCACACGCTCTTAATATCGGTTGAACAATTTTGTCCATAGTTAACTTTGCTTACCCTTCCTCAACATCAAATGTAAATTATACGATTTGTTAGACATTTATTAGCCATTCTTTTTACGCAATAATGTGTACATAATCAATAACTAATAGGATTTGGGAATCAATCATAAAGGAATTTATTAAAAAATAACAATTATCTTTCTGAAGATCATGTTTTACCCCGGTCAACATACGTTGGCTTGAATCATGTTTTCAATCCTTTGTTGTGATAATACAATGATAAGGCTTCTATAATAGGAGGTTTGATCGGCGACAGAGTGTCACATGAGCTTATTCATTGAGTCAAATATCTAACAAAAAATTGCTAGGTTTTGGGTGGTGGTGTTAATGCAACTTTCTATCATAGTTTTGGGAACGACACTATAAATCACCTGGGATGCCACGTGCTTTTTGGAAAGGCCCGTACTATTTTTGCTGGCATCCAAACTGTATAGTGTATAAAGTATATTCTTTCAAAAAGAAAATCAATTCCCACGAACGGCGCCAATGTGTAGGTGCATTAAACCTTAGATCGAGCACCAACACCCGATCAAAGAATCACTGCCTTCCACACTTAATAAAGACGAAGAAAAATGTATAATTCTTAGGAAATATTCAAAGAGAAAAGAAGAAGAGCAGAGGCGTAGAATTGCTTGTCTTTATTTAGGTCTTTTACCCGTTTATATAATGTTTACAATAACCCTAAATGGCGTCCTTTTTGGACTTTCATCTAATAATAATACAAATCACTCTAATATGTTGGTATTTCCTTATCACGCAGAATCTTTAGTCGAGGTGGATAAGTCTTGGCTTTGGGCCATGTGGACTTTAACTTTTGGGCCTATTTAGTGTATGGGTTATCCCTTAAATGTTTGGGCTGGGCCTTGTAGTTGGGTTCTCAGCTTCTAATCCACTCCCTTGGGCTTACATCTTTGCATAGTGATGTGTATGCGTTTTTAGTTGGTGGGTATTTTTTGCGGCCACAACCCAAGAGGGCCACCTGCCTTCCCGAGCCTAGTCTGGCCCACTATATATATATATATATATATATATATATATATATATATATATATATTATAAATATAGGTATAAAATTTATAAAATATTATTTGTGCACCTCTAAATTTATTTTTCTTTCTAAATCACCCCTGAGCTAGATTTTTTTATTTATTATATACATATAGGTATTACTTTCCGCCTCCTGAAATCAAATCTTGTCCACATCCCAGTGAGGAACCCTTTTCAAATTGAAGGCTGAAAATTCAAGTCCCACGGGAGCAAAACTGGGTAAGTTTCTTGTCAAGAAAAAAAAATTTCTTTATTGTAAGGACAAAAAATTAAATAGTTACATAATGAATGTTGAACTGATGGGTTAAAATGGAATAGTATCAATTTGGATTTACGTGCTGTAACGACCCAAAAAGATACCAAAATAATAATAATAAAATATATATAGTTTCGGCATGACCTCCGCAGAAAAAGTCTCTCTACAACCTATTGAAATACAAAAAAAAAAAAAATGCAATAGATTGGGCCTTAAAAATAACCTATTATGTCTCAACGCACAACACATTTATTATATCACATTCCCAAAATGATTGCATACGTATCAAAAATCCCCTTCAACCATTTGATCCAAACAAGAAACACACCTTAGTTTCATCAAGTCATAGTCCATAAAATGTAGCTAGAATTTAAAAGTCCATACCTTACAACATTGTACCAATTAAACTAAAGTTTCATAAAATATTTAAGATTACATTTACAAAATATTAAAGTTCTAATACAAAAGATAGCAAAATAAAATGGGTCTCCAAGCTAGTCTAAACCTGTGGTGGATCGTCATCCGCCACCTCTTTTTTGTGTCCTGAAAATGTTAAAAACAATGGGGTGAGCATAAGCTCAGTAGGAAGTATCTAAGACACACTTCTTATGACCCCGTGAATCCACATAAGGAAGAGGTAAAAAGGAACGGAATCATACTATAGGGAAACACATATTCTCAACCACAACAACAAGTATATTGCAAATGTCAACCGATCACATATTTACTACAATGCTGTAAAGCGCAATGTTATGCAAATGCCACTCCCCATTTCTAAAATAATTTTATTTCAATAACCAAACCGTTAGTGTAATCCGACCCAAGGCACCTCTAAGGCGTCACGAAAAAGGGATTGACTAATTATCCACGACCACAAGGCACCTCCAAGGCGTCGCATCTGGCCTAGTTAGCTCAACCACACTCTCTTCTAGACTACACTAACATCACGAACGACTAGGCGCCTCCTAGGCGTCCGGTTTTCGTAAACACTTTTAGAAATACTTTCCCAAAAAAAAAATTATTTCCTTTGTTTTGAAAACATTTTTTTCCCTTTTCTCTTCCCGATGGATGCAAGAATGCTATATGTATTACAATGCCGTGAAATGAGGAAAAATCATGCATTTTGATGCCGTATCAATTATACATTCTTATGTATCATATTCAAACCTTAATCACATAGCATGCTTAACAAAAAAAAAAAAATAAATAAATAAATAAAAATAAAAATAAAAATAAATAAATAAATAAATAAATTCTAATAAAAATCATATCATGCTTTCAAATAATAAGTATTCAGCACATTAGGCATATAAAACATGGAATCAATTACTTAGGCATGCTTCTTCATATAAAATCAACAAAATCCAACACATACATATCACTTACAACATTGAAAACTTATATTCCATAAAATTTTCATAAATTAAACATGATATTCAAAAAGAATTGAGAAGTAATTCACAAAAATCAAAGAATTTATGCCTTAAAAATCTCCTACCTCAAATGAGAGAAAAAACCCCAATTTGAGCCCTAAATTCAAAATTCCTAGGCTTGGCCAAATGGTGATTGGCTCCTATCAAATCAACGGTCTCGACAAGCTCTCCAACTTTGCTTCATAAGGTTCTACCAAATTCTCAAAGATAAAGGAGGGATCAAGCTTTGAATGGTGAAAAGAAAAAGAAAAACAAAATGTTACAGAGAGAGAGAATAGAAATTGCCGAGAGAGAGAAACAATGAGTCTGTGTAATGGCCTTATTGCCTTTATAATGGTTAAAATATTTTTATGGGTCCTATAGCTTAAAAGAATTCTTTTAATATATATATATATATATATATATATATATATATATATATATATATATATATATATATATATATATAATTTATAAACATTAGATTCTCCCCAACTTTAAAAGATTTTGCCCTCGAAATTAAACCATACCTGAGGGAGAAAACAATTCTGGATATTTGGAGCGAACCTGTTCGAACTCCCAAGTAGCCTCCTCAACTCCGTGATGCCTCCAAAGAACTTTTACCAACGGTATCGTCTTTTTCCTCAATACCTTCTGCTATGTGTTAAGGATCTGAACTAGTTCCTCCTCATAGGAAACATCCTCATCAATGTCACATCAACCCAACTCAAAATGTGAGATGGATCCGACTCATACTTTCATAGCATCGATACATGAAAGACATTATGAACTCTTTCCATCTATAGTGGCAAAGCAAGTCTGTAGGCAACCTCTCCTACCCGGTCCAAGATCTCAGAAGGTCCAATAAATCTTGGCGATAGTTTGCCACTCTTTTCGAACCTCATCAAACCCTTTCGTGGAGAAACCCATAGGAAGACGTGGTCTCCCACCTCAAAGGATAGCGGCTGTCTCTGCCTATCCGTATAACTCTTCTGTCAGCTCTGAGCTATGAGCAACCTCTGTCTGATCAGCTTAATCTTCTCAGTAGTCTCGAGTACTATGTCGGGTCCAAAGGCGGTTGTTTTGCCTACCTCAGTCCAATAGACAAAAGACCTACAAGGTCTGCCGTACAATGCCTCAAATAGAGCCATCTGAATACTCGCCTGATAACTGTTGTTGTAGGCAAACTTAATAAGTGGAAGGTGATCCTCCCAACTACCACCCAAGTCAAGTACACAGGCCTAAAGCATATCCTCCAAGATCTGGATGGTATGCTCTGACTGACTGGCCATTCATTTATGGATGGAATGCCGTACTAAGGTGTAACATTAAGCCAAACGCTACTTAAAGTCTTTCCCAGAACTTCGAGGTGAACTTGGCATCCCTATTTGAAACAATAGCCACTGGAACTTCATGCAATCTTACAATCTCTTTTACATAAAGTACACCAAGTGCCTCTGCGTCATCTGTTACTTTAATAGGTAAGAAGTGAATGTTCTTGGTCAATCTATCAATAATGACCCATATAGTTTCATTTTCCCTCCGTGACCTAGGAAGACCCGTCACAAAATCCATTGCAATCTCCTCCCATTTCCACTGCGTTACCGGTAATGGCTGCAATAAATCAGCTGGTCTCTGGTGCTCGGTCTTCACCTGCTGACAGGTAAGGCACTTAGCCACAAACTGTGCAACGTCCTTCTTCATTCCATTCCACCAATACTGACGTCTCAGATTGTGATGCATTTTGGTACCACCTGGATGAACTGCAAACCGAGAAGTGTGAAATTCTCGTAAAACGTTCTAATGACAAACTGTGGGAATAACCAATGAACCCCTGAACTATAAACCTCCATCTGCACGTAAAGTCCAATCTTTCACGGTCTCGCCACTAGAGATCAAAGTTTAAATGGCATCCAAATCTAAATCCTATCTCTGTGACTCAATCACCTGTCTAACAAGAGTGGGCTAAGCCATGAGACAAAACAAGAATGCTGACTTACTGCCATCATCATCAAAGCAATACAATCCTATTTTAACCAAATCTTTAAGCATCTTCCACTTCCGAATGGCTAAACTAGCCAAAGTCCCACGAGATTTCAGACTTAAAGCATCAGCTAATACATTTGCCTTACCAGGTTGGTACTGCAAATCAAAGTTGTAGTCTTCTAAGAACTCAACCTATCGCCTCTGTCTGTTGTTCAAGTCCCTTTGGGAGAAAAGGTACTTGAGACTCTTGTGGTCTGAGAACACTTCCAATCTCTCACCATACAAATAGTGTCTCCAACACTTCAAAACAAACACGACTGCCGCTAACTCCAAGTCATGAGTAGGGTAGTTAAGCTCATAAGTCTTCAACTCGAGACCCATAAGCCATTACTCTACCATCCTGCATAAGTACACAACTCAAACCATCACATGAGGCGTCACAATAAATCACATAACCCAAGCCACGCTCAGGTATCACCAACACTAGAGCCATAGTCAACCTTTTTTTCAACTCTTGAAAGGATGACTCACAGGCCTCATTCCATACAAACTTGATCCCTTTCCCTGTCAATCTAGTCATAGGAGCTGCTAAACGAGAAAAATCCTTCACAAATCTCCGACAATAGCCCGCTAGGCCAAGGAAACTTCAAATCTCAAAGACATACTTGGGTTGCTCCCAATTCAGAACTGCCTCTATCTTTGAAAGATCAACTGAAACCTCACCTTTCAAGACAACATGTCCCAAAAACTTCACCTCTTATAGCCAGAACTCACACTTTTCATACTTGGCGTACAAATGGTGCTCCTGTAGAATTTGCAACACTATACTTAAATGGATCTCGTACTCCTCTCGAGTCCGTGAATACACAAGAATGTCATCCACGAAAACTACCACAAACTAATCCAAGTAATCGTAGAAAATACGATTCATTAGATCCATGAATGCTGCTGGCACATTAGTTAAACCAAAAGGCATAACAAGAAACTCATAATGTCCATATCGCGTACGGAAAGCGGTCTTTGGAATATCCTTCTCTCTAGCCCGCAACTGATAATAACCTGACCTCAAGTCAATCTTTGAAAAACAACTGGCTCCTCTCAACTGATCAAATAAATCATCTATCATTGGCAAATGATACTTGTTCTTGATGGTAGCATGATTCAACTTCCGGTAATCAATGCACAACCTCAAAGAACCATCCTTCTTCTTAGCAAACAAGACCGATGCACCCCACGGTGACACACTCGGTTAGATGAAGCCCTTCACTTTTAAATCATCAAGTTGCTTCTTCAATTCTTCTAATTCAATCAGTGCCATACAATACGGTGCCATAGAGATTGGCGCGATACCAGGCATCAAATCAATAGCAAATTTCACCTCTCGGTGTGGAGGCAACTCAGTCAAGTCTTCAGGAAACACATCTAGAAAGTCTCGTACAACCACAGGATAATTAACCCCACAAAACTCTATATCTTCATCGGCAAAAAGGTTAGCCAAGAAGAACCCTTGTCGATTTGGGCCTCTAACATTATAAAATGAAAGAGTGAGAGAATCACACCGATCCCTTACAAAACAGAAGCAATCCCCATCTGGGGTACACATTGAAACTCTACCCCTAAAGCAATTAATAACAACTCTAAAGGACAATAACCAATCCATCCCAAGAATGACGTCAAATCCTGTCATCTTGAGAAGGATGAGATTGAACTCCAGTACCCGTCCAACATTGGTAATGGAACCCCGACAAACTCTACGAAGAGGCGTGTCAACACAAAGTGGTCTGTCTACCTGACTGACCTCCAACCCCAATACCCTTGCAAATGATGAAGCAATAAATGAATAGGAAGCACCAGAATCAAACAATACATGAGCCTAAGAATGAGACCCAAGAAACATACCCCTGACCACTGAAGGACTGGATGGTGACTCGGCTGGAGTGAGTGCAAACACGCAACCCTGGGTCCTCTACCCCTGATAACCGCCTGCTTGATAACCAGACTGCTGAGTTGGTGCACTCGAAGAAGCTCTCCTACCCGGTCGAGAACTCTAGGTTGACATGGCTAGCTGAAGCGGCTGAGGTGGTGGTAGCGGTCGAAACCCTGACTAAACTGTTGCAGACTGCATTTGCCTCTACTGTGAACCTCCACCTCTGCCCAAACCACTACCCCACTATGGACAATCTTTCACCCTATGACCCTGCTGGCCATACCCGAAACATCCACCAGATGCCACCTAAATCTGAGTACACTGAGACTTGTGATGCCCTGACTGCCCACACTTGAAACAAATCACTTGAGCTACCTGAGCCTGAGTGCATTGGGACTTGTAATGTCCCAGGTGCCCATATCTGAAACAAGTAACATTCGGTCTAGAAGACTCAATGGACACTGAAACTGTGGGTATGGATCTGGCAGACTGCTGTCCCCTGAACCCTGACTGCTCATGTTTTTGCTTTTTACTTGATTGTCCCTTAGAGAAAGCACTCATACCCCTGTTGTACTTGTAGGACTCCCTGATAGCCTTGCTATCTTTGCTCTCAGCATCAACCACTAAGGCTTTTTGCACTGCTTTTGCATACCCTGTCAGTTCTGAAGCAGCTACAATTGGCCTAATGGTAAGATCAAGGCTATCAACAAATTTCTCTATCTTTCATTCCTCATCATTAGTAATCCCCGGTATAAACCTCAAAAGCGACATAAACTTGTTCTCGTACTTTGTAACTGTCATGTTTCCTTGCTTCAACCAATCGAACTCCTTCTTTAGCTCTCTCCGCTTAGGTGCCGAAAAATACTTCTCGTAATACAGCTTTTTGAATTTAGCATAGGTCATTGTGTCTAAATTGTGGGTGTGGGAAATGGTATTCCACCATATCTCAACATCACCAACAAAATTGTAAGTCGCCAATGTGATCTTCAACTTGTCCGTTGCCATTAACATGCTTCTCCACCCTATCTATGAAACTATCTGCAACAAGCGGATCTGGACCGCCCTCAAACAAGGTCGGTATCAACTTCACAAACTTAACAATATGATAAAGAGTATCATCTGTCTCACTTATTTTTGGAAGTGGTGGTGGTAGTGCCAGTGGTGGCATAACCTGTGACGATGATGCTCCTGCCGGTCGAAATGCATTAGAAGAGCTGCCTGAATAGCCAACCTCAACTGTTCCTTATTTATCTGAAAAGGTGGGTCAACAGTCCCCCTCATTTGTCCCCCTCTTGGTGGGACCAAAACACACAACAAAATATCTTCTTCAACTTGCTCCTGGTCCCTTTCTATGGGATTAGAGCTTGAACTTTCCCCGGGATCCCTTCGTGGTGTCATGACCCTAAAAAAAATGAGAGAACGGATCAAAAACGATGACACTAAAATACGCACGAGAACGGAGTCCTCACATGAATGACTTGATAAGAATGGAAACGCATAAACACCTTCCATACTCTCAGAATACCCAATTAATGATAAATATGATCATGCTAATAATATACAACAACACAAAACACTTAACATGTAGTCATATAAGCAATTAAACAATTAAGCATACCTTTCAAATAATTAAACACCTTAATACATAAGCATATAAGCATGCAATCACGTAAATAATTAAGCAAGTAAACAAATAACTCAACTCCCCATGCAATCCTAGGTAGGCCTCTACTTATCATCCTAATGGTATTCGAACCATTGCTCTGATACCAAATTTGTAACGACCCAAAAAGATAGCAAAATAATAATAATAAAATATATAAAATTTCGGCATGACCTCCGCAGAAAAAGTCCCTCTACAACTTGTTGAAATATATATAAAAAAAATGCAATAGCCTCACTGGGCCTTAAAAATAACCTATCCTATCCCAACGCACAATACATTTATTATATCACATTCCCAAAATGATTGCATACGTATAAAAATCCCCTTTCACCATTTCATCCAAACAAGAAACACACCTTAGTTACAGCAAGTTACAGTCCATAAAATGTAGTTAGAATTTAAAAGTCCATAGCTTACAACTTTGCACCAATTAAACTAAAGTTTTACAAACTAGTTAAGATTACATTTACAAAATATTAAAGTTCTAATACAAAAGATAGCAAAATAAAATGGGTCTCCAAGCTCATTTAAATCTGTGGTAGATCATCGTCTGCCACTTCTTTTCCGTGTCCTGAAAAATGTTAAAAATAATGGGGTGAGCATAAGCTTAGTAGGAAGTGTCTAAGACACACTTCTTATGACCCCATGAATCCACATAAGGAAGAAGTAAAAATGAACGGGATCATACCATAGGAAAACACATATTCTTAACCACAACAACAAGTATATTGCAAATGTCAACCGATCACAAATTACTACAATGCCATAAAGTGCAATGTTATGCAAATGCCACTCCCCATTTCTGAAATAATTCCGTTTCAACAACCAAATCGTTAGTGTAATCCGTCCCAAGGCACCTCCAAGGCGTCATGAAAAGGGGATTGACTAACTATCCATGACCACAAGGCACCTCCAAGGCATCGCATCCAGCCCAGTTAGCTCAACCACACTCCCTTTTAGACTACACTAACATCACGGACCACTAGGCGCCTCCTAGGCGTCTGGTTTTCGCAAACACTTTTAGAAATACTATCCCCAAAAAAATTATTTCCTTTGTTTTGAAAACATTTTTTTCCCTTTTCTCTTCCCGATGGATGCAAGAATGCTCCATGTATTACAATGCCGTGAAATGAGGAAAAATCATGTCTTTTGATGCCGTGTCAATTATACATTCTCATGTATTATATTCAAACCTTAATCACATAGCATGCCTAACAAAAAAAAAAAAAAAACATAAATAAATAAATTCTAATAAAAATCATATCATGCTTTCTAATAACAAGTATTCGGCACATTAAGCATATAAAACATAGAATCAATTACTTAGACATGCTTCTTCACATAAAATCAACAAAATCCAACACATACATATCACTTACAACATTAAAAACTTGTATTTTATAAAATTGCCACAAATTAAATATGATATTCAAAAATAGTTGAGAAGTAATTCACAAAAATTAAAGAATTTATGCCTTATAAATCCCCTACCTCAAATGAGAGAAAAAGCCCCAATTTGAGTCCTAAATTCGAAATCCCTAGGCTTGGCCAAATGGTGATTGGCTCCTTTCAAATTGATGGTTTCAACGAGCTCTTCAACTTTGCTTCACAAGGTTTTACCAAATTCTCAAAGATAAATGAGGGATCAAGTTTTGAATGGTGAAAAGAAAAAGAAAAACAAATGTTACAGAGAGAGAGAATAGAAACTGCCGAGAGAGAGAAACAATGAGTCTGTGTAATGGCCTTATGGCCTTTATAATGGTTAAAACATTTTTATGGGTCCCATAGCTTAAAAGGATTCTTTTAATATATATATATATATAAAATTTATAAACATTTACTACTATAATAATAATAATAATAATAAAAGATCTTATTCTATTAATGGAGTTACATTAATGGAGAGTTATTAGATGCCCCTCCACTATGTCCGGTCCACTTCAATCAAAATTAATTTTCTGATTTCTTTTTAGAGTAAATTACACTAACCTCCTCTGGGGTCTCGTCAATATACAGAGACCTCCCCTCTTGTTTGTCAAATTATACGAACCTCCCCTATCAGAACTTTAGATTGGATGGTGTTAATTATTATTGTGTAATTACATTTTTGTCCTTATTATATATATTTTATTTTATTTCAAAATTTCAAAGACCAAAATACCCATCTATATATATATATATATAACACATACCTAAACCATATAAGCAAATTGCAAATACAGAACATAATAAATAGATATCAAATCATGGTATAGATTGCTAGCTGGTGTTTCCCTCCGTGCGCGTGACACAATCTACCACCACCTCCCTTATTCTAAATTTCTTTCTGATCTCTTCATATGCATATACACCTATAATATATATCAATAAACATATTCATATATAGAAACACACATATATAATGTGTATATATATAGAGAGGGGGCAGCTCGCTGATCTCAATGTATTCCTTCCTTGCTTTCATTGAGTGAATTATTATATTTTTATGAACGTTTGTTAGTTAGTGCTTTGTTATGCACTGCTGTAGTAGAAAAACAAGGCCAAGTGTACCACTTCATGAGCTTGAGTTCAAACCAAGCAAGCTTAATATAGAACTCGCATCACAGAGACAGAGAGGGAATTAAAACAGAGGAAAGAAAGAGAAAGAGAGAGAGAGAGAGAGAGAGAGACATACATACATATATATATATATATGTATGTATGTATGTATCAACAGAGAAATATAGGATGACATATATGTACATGGCTAACAACCACAGAAGCTATAGAATTCACTGTTGTCTCTCTTTTCATCCTTGCTCGCCAACTGCAGACCCATCTTTTCTTGTTCTCATTTCTCGCCAGTAAAATAGCCGCCGTTGGTCTCACTGGTAAATTCCGTGGCTACAGTTTAGACCCATTGGGTGTTATGGGTTTGTTGATACGAGGGCACCATTGTCCTTTTGAGTTTATTAGTCAAGGATAATATTATAAATTTACAATGATTATTGAGGTTAAAAATGTCATTTCAGGTATTGAAGGGTAAAATTGTCTTTGTGTTGATTTTTTCGGATGGAAATAAGTATAAATTGTTAGTTGTTTAACGGCAGGGAAGGTCCGTGTTATCAGTATATAAATTTTGAGGGAAGTCAGTGTTATTTGACAAACAAGAGGAGATACGAGTTTATGATAACGAAATTTCAGGGGAGGTCAGTGTAATTATCCCTTCTTTTTAATATATTACTAGACTCTTTTTGGTCCACTTTTATTAATTGTGGAGTATTAACTGAACTAATCCACAAAGTGTGTGGTCAGAGTCATTTAATAATTTCTCCAATGCAATTTTTTATAAAGAGGAATACAACACTTGGGGACAATTGATTTGAGACTACGATGGAGAGTAATGTGGGGTCTACCACTACACCAAGCGGGGTGGGATGTCTTCAAAAGTTTAAATTTGACGACAAAATAGGTCAATAACCATTTAATAATTTATCCTATTTCACACAAATCATTTAATAAGCACTCAAATCCTAACAATTCTTAGTAATCAAATCATGAAGATAATCGTAATAGTAATAAATGACACTTTGATTTTACATACCAAAAAAAAAAAAAAGCACATAGATTTTGTAGTAATCAAAGCATGAAGATAAATCGTAATAGTTATAAAAGACACTTTGATTTTACATACCAAAAAAAAAAAGCACATAGATTTTGAAAATTTGACGGATTTCTTAGACCTTTTGGTCACCTATAAATATGAGCTCTCGTTGAAGTACAAGAAATCAACATAGCCATCATCACCCACCTAAAACCCAGAAGACATGGATAAAACTCTCTTCAAGTTGGCTTTCCTGATGACGCTTGTGGTCATTTCATTTGGTAAGCCTCATCAATTGATATTAATTTCTTACTTCTATGGTCACTTTTGAATGGTGGTATGGTTAATATCTGCAGAATGTAGTCCTCTAAACATATTATAGTTATATGAAAATGGTTTTTTTTTATTTTTTATTTTATTTTATTTATTTATTTATTGAATTTTCAGAAATGATCAAATAAACATATTTTGTACAGTTTTTTTTTTTTTTTTTTTTTTAAATTCTCAAAAATGGTTTTTGTTGGCTTTGAATTCTTTGCTAGAATATGTTTGTTATATTTTGAAGAGTTAATATATTGATTTTACTTGCCCAAAAAGATAAAAATAAAAAAATTGCAGCCCAGCATCTAGATCAACCGCGTTGCCAAAATGACGGTGACTGTCAAAGTAATTGTGCCAATATGGAAGGGTGCAAATGTTCATGCTTTGGGGGTTGGTGTATTCGTGCGTGTCCAGCCCCACCATCAGCGGAGCTCG